GCGATACGCCCCACTTAACATTTACTGCAAGACCATCTCTGTTCAGAGGTTCTTTCTCCACTGAGAGAGCAAAGAGAGCAAACCCTTTCTTTTCCTGGATTTCACAGCACCATATAATCACCTGTCAAGATACCTAACAGTTTCCATGACTTTTCAGTACCTCTCCCAGTACCTGGACATTGGTCTGTCCTTGTAGCTGACACCTACACCTTCCCCATATCATGGTCACAAATTTCCCCATTCTGCTCCTTAGTCTGGAATGTACCCTTGTCCTTTCTTCTCTCAATATCCATCTTTCAAGTACCTGTTCAAATTTTCCCTGCTTTTGATTTCAAAACCCAGTGATCTCATTCCTAGGAATTCTTGACTTCGACTATCGCAAACCCCTCAGGATAGACACATCTGTCTGTCTGACTGACAATGTCTACCCATTTACCCATCCACCCATCTGCCTATCTATAGTTTACAACTCAATCACAAGCTATTCAAGCTCAACATGTTGCCTTTTTGATGCTGCCCAGCACCCAGCACATGAAAGATATTTAATAATTGCTTCTTGATTGGGCTCATGTGATTAATTAAAGAATAAGTATTTTCATCAAGTGAAGGCTGTGGGGGCTAAATTAAAATAAGAGCAAAAGAATATTAGGAAGGAAAAAGATCAGATACCTTTCATTTTTTGTCAACTAAAGCAGATTCATTGGAGCATCTTGTTTAGGCTGCTGGGCTAGCAAAATGTTCCAAGACTGGCCAATTCAAAATGAGCCTTCAGTGCATTTCTCTAAATAGCAATGATTTGAAAATAGGTCTCCAAACTGGGGCCAGAGGGAGGTGCTGGTCTCAGATCTCAGTAAGTGATCAGTGCCTCCTAAGAGTCTGGTGTGCAGTTTCTTTCTAGAGACCCTTTCCAAGCGGCAGAGCCCCTTTCCAGCTTATGTAATTAGTAGAGCATTTGTTCCCCCACACAGTCCCAAAGCAATGGGAAGCAACGATGAGTGGTGTTTATTTATTCAGAATTCTGCATCTTATAACATTGAATTTGAAAGATTAAGACATATCCAGCACCAGAAGCTTCCTCAGCTATGTGGTGGGCTGATCATTTACTAGAAGCTCTTCCTTTCCCTTGGTTTAGGAAACATTTTAAATTCCATGTCCAGTTGGGATCAATTAAAACTGAAATGCTACTGGGTGTGGTGGCACACACCTGTAATCCCAGCAGCTCAGGAGGCTGAGGCAGGAGGATTGTGAGTTAAAAATCAACCTCAGCAATAGCAAGGTGCTAAGAAACTCAGTGAGACCCTGTCTTTAAATAAAATACAAAATAGGGTTGGGGATGTGGCTCAGTGGCTGAGTGCCCCTGAGTTCAATCCCTTGTATCAAAAAAGCAAAAACTCAAAATCTGAAATGTTCCCTTTCAATATAGGTAGCCTCCAACTCACAGCCTGCCTATCACTTACATAGGAGGCTCTTACCCTGCCTGGCCCTGGGACAGGAGGGTCTCTCTCACATGAGCACGGGAGTCTGGTGGGAAGTAGGTGCGCTCTGCAACTGGGAAAGGGATGGAGCTGTGAAACCTGGGAAGGGCCAAGGACAGCTGACCCAGGGGCAGAATCTCAGGAAAGGCTGACCTGTCTATGTGCTGGCCAACCAACCCACAAACCAACCAACTAAGGGACCTAAAGTAGTCCCCAAATAGTTTGTACTACGTTGGACTGTGTGGAATTTCATCTTTCAGAGTGATGTCCTAGCAGAAGTGGTAACAGAAGGAGTTCATTAGGCACCTGGGGAGGGGCCACTGGAAGCAGGAGTGTGGCAAACAACAACTATGATATGGAGCACAAGCATTCCAAAGCAATAGCTCATTTAACACCCAGGCAAGTTTAACATTAGCCCAACTTTACAGATGAAGAGATGGAGTTTTAAGAGATGTTAAGTCTGGTTAAGTAGCAAGGCTGGGATACAAACTTCAGTCTGAGTTGAATGTGCTAACTTGTGTTCTTTCTTCGAACCCTCTGTGATCTCCTGTAGTTTATGGGATTTGTCACCCAGGACAGAGATTTCAACTGGTAACCTTGTGAATTATAGCTCACTTGCATCATGGTTTACAAGCCTGAGAACTTGACAGCTTGACTTAAAAGACTGTTTCTATAGGAGATTTCATGACCTGCTATGAAATTGGTGGTATACAATTCCATTGCGTTACAAGGAATTACCAGTAATTAGAATTTAACAAAGTAATGCTCAATGTCTCTTCTGGCTGGCTTCCAGTTGCATAAAAAAGTAAGCTCACTCAACCAGCCCAAGCTTTCTTTATGTTTGTTTCATGTGACCCACACATGTACATTTACTGGAAAGTGTGTTCCACAAGGGCAGGGACTTGTGTCTAGGTGTAACAAAGTAACCCCTGCACCTAGAGAGTACTTGGCACACACAGGCACACAGGAACTATTTGCTAAATGAATACGTGTGTTTAGATTGCAAAGTTTTAGAACCACATGTACTTTCAGCTTTCAGTTGTAAAACAGATCTAGAATTGAGATATGTAATAAAAATACAATGAAATAATGTTAAGAAACTCAGGATTCAGTCATCTAAAACCCTCCTTTCATAAAATGCATTTCGAAGATTTGGGGGAAACTCTGACCCCAGCTTCAGCAGTCCTGCCTCATGCCATCATGGACCTCTGGCCCCGTGGCCAAGTTGCTTTACCGTTTTAGGTCTCAGAACCAGAAACAGCTCCAATACTTTTATATGCTATGACATTTGTGAGTGTAGCCTTATAGATTCCTCACTCCTGCTCTAATCTCCCTTTGGTGATGATACTGGCAGAAAGGAAAACAAATGAACAAGGTAGCTAAAGAGAAAAGTCCTGGATCCCCAAAAGGCAAATCACAAGTCCTTGAGTTTATACAAGGTAGAAGTTGCTACAGGAGGCAGCCATGGACCATTTACTTGGGCAAGCAAGTTAGTCAGTTATGAATTCTATTTGGTTAGTTTATACTATGGAGAAACAGAATTCTGGATGTTTCATACAGAAAACAGAAATGGGTGTGTTCTGCTGGTTTGAATATGAACATAGAGGTCAGAGTCTTGTCCACTGATGATTTAGCATTGGTTTGGGAAACAGGAAGTAATCTCAGTCACACATCATGCTCTCCTGCCTAGGATTGGTAGGAGTAATGCTCATTTGCTTGCTCTGTGGCTGGTTGTGCTTAATATGAGCCCCAGATTGTCTTAGGGTATTGTCATGCTATAGTGACTAAACCCTGTCTGTGCACTAGACCCACCTGGGGAACATCAAAAAGTCCAGATGCCTGTCACACTCTAAAACAATTAAGTCAGAATCTCTTGAAGTGAGGTCTAGCATAGTCTTTAGTTCGCCATGTGATTCCCATCTTTTTTTTTTTTTTTTTTTTAATCAGCCTCTTGCCAAAGGACTATTAGGACAGGAGCATGGAGACTAGGGGCAAATCTCTTAGCTACTGGCATTTTGAAGTGGAAAGCCTTCCCTCTATTGTACAGTGGTAAACTCTTCATCAGATGCCAAATCATGGAGTTAGTTGAAAGCACAGCCAGAACCAGGAGCCAGAATTTAATACGCTAGGTAGGGTTGGGGATGCAGTTTTGTGGTAAAGCACTTGCTTTCACTGTGTGAGGCCCTGGGTTTGATCTGCAGCTCTCCTTGTCTCCTGCTCTGAAGACAATGGCAGGAAGGGCATTTTAAATTTACTTTTTTATTGGAGACACTAAATTTGTGATTGAAATGAAAGCATTCTGAGATAAGTTTATGCATATAACTGACAGAAACACAAAATCGGTACTTGAATTTCAAGGAATCAGCCACTTCCTCTAATCCTAAGTCACTTCTGGAAGTCCTAATTTGACTTTTAATAAATGCACTATTTTTTAGTCTTTCTTGGAACTTGTGCAAGAAGATGTTTTTGTGGCTGTAATTAGGCATTAAAAAAAAAAAAGCATGTCACATGAGAGTTTTTTCCTAGCCCAAGGCCACCAGTTGTGTAGGTATGACCACAGTATATTTCAGATACAAAACAACTAGAGTGATAATTCTGAGGGGCAAGAGGAGTAGCTATTGTGACCTCCTGGCTACATACACTCACTATTGCTTTATTTTGGAGTTGTGTTAAAATTTCCATTGCCAACCTTCCTATCTACAGGCATCCCCAACAATGTCTGTAGCTTGTAATCTAGCATACCTCATTTTATGCAACAGATAAATTGCTGAAGAGTGGAAGGTAAATGATATCAAATCACAGTTGATATGTACTAATTGACTTGCCTCTAGAACGTTAATTTTTGAGAGGTAAATCGTTGACTTTCTAGTAAGAATGACCTGTTTTCTTCTTATAGAACTAGCACTGCATATGTGGTGTGAACTCCAGTTTCCCCTCCTAGTTCCAGCCTGCACTATTTACCCTTGTCTTTTTAGAACGGGAACTTTTCTGAACAGATTTTGACACTACCCAGATGCTTGCTCTGTAAATCCAGTCTCCTGTGTATTTTCTCTGTCTCTGGCTTAGTCTTGTGAAAACCTGAACTCTCCTTTGCAGGCGCAGTTTAGGATGAAAGTTCAACAGATTTCAAATTAAGGACAGCCAGGCACAGATAAAAAGGCTATGGAATGGGGAAAAAAATCAATGGGAGTGTGTATACATAATAGGGGAGGAGAGGAGAGGAGAGGAGAGGAGAGGAGAGGAGAGGAGAGGAGACAATTTGTGTTGGTGGTGGGTGGTGGTGGACAAATATTCATCTGTTCATCAGAATGATGAAGATACCACACTGGATACCCTCTGTGCTGAGCAAACCATCACTGTGTAATTTACGGGCAAGGAGTCTTTGGGCAGCAGCAGACAGCTACGCACCCCATCAGGCTTTGCTCACATATCCTTTGTGGTTGGCTTGGGGTGCGTGCATGCGGCAGGAAGGGGTGTCAGGGGGTCGGCTAGCGCCCCGCCCCGCGGGGAGGGAACGGTTCTTACAGTCACTGCTCAGCGCGAAGGGCGCGCGGCGGCGGCGGCCGAGGGAGCGGTCTTCGGCGGGCGCCTCGGGAGGCCTCTTACCGGCGGGCAGCGGGAAGGCGGACGCGGTGTGGAGCAGCACCAGGCAGACAGCCACGACATCCCATAACTTCATCTTAGAGTCCCGTCCGGCAGCTGCACCTGTGCGGGTGGGCGGGCGGCCGGGAGAGAACCACAGAAGGCAAGTTAGGCCAGGGCGCCAGGGCCCAGCGCTACTCGGGCGCCGCATCCCCGCCTGTCCCTGCGCCCCGCTCCAAACTTGTCACCGCCCTCCTCGGGCACCGCTGAACGCTGGCGTTTCCCTGGGCGTCCCGGGCCCTCATGACAAGTGCCGCGCTGGGTCCCTCTCCCAGATGTGTCCCGGGTGCAGCTTGCACTCGGGGTCCAGGACACAGCTGATCCTCTCCTCCGACATCGGGTTTCAGGGGTCAGATTTTTCGAGCAGGGCCGCTGTCCCCGCGCGTAAACCTCCAAACAGGGAGACGGGATTTCCGGCCTGTGCTATCTGCGGGCGCGGATAGGAGCCCCCCGCCCCCATTCTCTGAGGGCAATTAGGTAACTCCCACGCTGCGTGCTTGGCCTCGGTCTTTGAGCCCTTTCCTCCTGGCCTGGCAGCTCTCACTGGAAGCCAGCCCTTAAACTAAGCAAGCAACAACTCTTTCCCTTTGGGAATAAAATCAAGCGCCCCCCATCTGCCCCCACGGCGGGGCGGGG